AGTCCGAGTCTTACAGCGACACCGGTGACATCAGAGACACCGGCACTTCATGGACACGGAGGCGGTGCTGACAGCCCAAACGAGCCCAGCGATGTTATCGGTGCCAATGGTGGGACTCACACTGACACTGCCGCTGATGAAGTTGGTGAACCTTCTCAGACTATTGCTGCCAGCGGCGATGAAGAGAAGCATGCAGACAATGAGTTTGAGTGTCTTCTCCAAAGAGTATTTGAATCATCATTGTTGCTAGTTTGACCCAATTATTATGTATAAACGCTCAAGCCAAGTCAAGCAGTCGAGCTTCAAATGGTTGCCAAACCCTCTGAAGTGTTTTTGCTTTCTTAGATTGCTTTGAGGTGTCCTGATTGTGAAGAGATGATGCCATTGGACAGGAGCTGTTCTATTGGCAACCGATGCAAACAAAGGCGATGCTTGGATTGCCACGGAGCGAGACGCAGCCTGCGATCATGGTTTGTCAAGATGCAACGGCAAGACGAATGGGAATCTATGAATCCTGAGAGCAAACGACAGCTGGTGAAGGAGCACAAAAACAAAGGGAGAGGCAAAGGTCGCAAGAGAGACATCAATGTTGAGGAGAAAGCAAGTTGCAAGGATGGTGTCAAGCTAGGCAACCAAGCACCATTTTTGACCAAGAAACAGCTTCTTAAAAGCAATCGGTACTATTTTTAGACTTCCACTGGGCCTACTCTGTGACCGTGTCAACTTCAAACATGTTTAGTGCCACTGCCACTGCCAGCCGATTCAGGTTCATCAACACGCTCAAGACCAAATACTCATGGACTGATGCTGAATATGAGCAAGAGTGGTTGAGTGCAAGGAGCAATCCAAATGCAATATGGGCGAAGGATGACTATGGTGAAGAAGTGTGCAGCCTGCTCAAGACAAGTGTTGCTAGCTCTTCAAGGTCTTTGGCTCATACGAAGGCCGCGATACATTCATTCTAGTTGAGTTTAGGAGTTGAATGAAAAGCAAACAAAGTCCAAACTTGTGAACTAGAACGAGAACACTCACTGACTCACTGACTTTCGCTGGTTTGCGTTCACACTGCAGGAAGTGGTATCAAAAACAAACGTTCAAGATATTGATCCAGCTGAAGCCTTTACCAACGCTCTCTCTGGGTCTTTGCACCAAGAGACCCGTCTCTTTGATTTTGGACGTGTGGGCCCTTGATTCTTGATGCGATTTGCTTGTGTGAATGAATCACACAACAACTCCACGTGTTTGGGCTTGAACTTCAGCCTCCAGCGTCAGCGTGACTCTGCGACTGTGGTGCAACTCAGGCTTGAACCATTTCCAAGGGATGCCTGTATTACCGGGTGCCCAAGTACCGATCGCAATCACTGCACCCAGGGTGTCTTGCCCAATTCGTGGTTGACCACAGACCACTGGCCTTGTTGGTTGTCAACTTGTTCAGGCGGTTCGTTTGCCATTCGTTAATCTATCATCTATCTATATATTGTCATTTGTTTCATTCAGACTGAGGGCGGGAGCGGGAGAGGTCGAGCACAAGGCAAAGGCAAAGGCCGAGGTCGTGGACGTGGACGCAGCCGCGGCAAAGGCAAAGGAGACATCAACAATGACCTCACAGAAAATGAGAACCAAACCACCGTGCCCAAGAAGGATGAAGAATTGATTCAGATTGATCTCCGGCGCAAACAGATCTTGCTTGCAAAATCAACCGCTTCTTGCCTTGTCAGGATGCATCATGCCACACAAACTCTGACTCACAACAACAAATGTTAAATGTCAGAGACAGAGACAGAGACAGTCAGAGATGATTTACAGTAACTTAATGAAAGCGTGTAACGAAATGACGAATGATGAAGTCATATTATCTGCTTTGGCTGATTGGATTGGTAGAGAAAGGAAGCGGACATGTGTAATTGTACATTGTTTGGTGGGTGCCATAGTAGAGTAGGCAGGAATCGAAAAGGTGTTTTACTAATTTTGTGTACGTAGTAGTGCTGCCATACTATCAGAATCATAGTATATAGTATTATATAGTCATTTCCATTTGTGCCTGCTGGTTGCAGCTGAGTCAGCCAAGGCTGACAACTTCAGTGAATGGGAGTCCTATGTGGACGAGCAATTGGCAGCCACTGGTGAATTTCCGCTTCTGGACAAACACCGCCGGGTAGTTTCAGCCAGGCTTGAAAGCCTCCGCTCACTTGCCTGCAGCTCCCTGGACAAAGATTTGCCCATGCAGCTTCCAGAAGCCGATGATCAGATTCGCAAGAATGCATTCACTGACGGAAAATTGGATGATGGTGCATTCAAGGCGTACAACAAGAAGTTTGCCGCTTACGTTACTCTGCTGTCCAACGCCACGACAAGACTTGTTGAGTGCCATTCCGAGGAATGCGCAATACAATATGAAGAAGCTGCTGCTGCTGCGGAAGGCCCAGACTCAGAGGCAATTGGGGACGAGGACGGCGAGGGCCGGGATGATGGATCAAATGAAGCAGCTGAAGCTCCAGTTGAGAATGACAAAGACAAAGACTCAAAGCAAGACAGCAGCAGCAGCAAAGCCGATGGCCGCAATGGCAATGGTGGCGATACCCAAGTTAGCACTCAAGCTGAGGCTATGCAATCGACTGCGACTGAGAATGGCATTCAAATTCATGAGACGCTGGGAGTTCCCACCTTTATGGAGCACTTGTATGATTTGCCATTGCTCATGGAGATTGGAAAGTCTCACATCCGGGAGACTATTGGTGGGAAAATCTGCATAGATCCCCCTACCAACCCGGGAGAGGGTGCAAGTGCGTACCTCCTTGAGAAGGTGAGTCTCCCAGAACTTGATTTCAGGAAGGATGAGGCTTGGTATTTGTCCTTTTTATGCATGGTTCACATAACGACTTGATATCAAACGCAAAGCAAAACACATAAGTTTTGCAACTGAGACTGAGACTATGACTATCACAGCCACTTCCCTGCCCCTTTGCAGGTGGCAAATGACATTAAGCAGCCGGAGGATTGCTTTCAGCGCAGAAGCAAAAGCTTTGCATCTCAAAACGCAGCTAACCTGAATTGTCTAGATGGTCCTGACCCAGGATTCTGGATTCTTCGCGTTTCCTTTTTAGCCTAAGGTCTTTCACCAATCAGAGAGTGTACGCCTGGGCTTCAGCTTTTTTGGTCTTGAGCTGATGCAAGAGAGCGCCAATCAGTTTTCAGACCTGGACCGTTTGATGAAGCTACTTGGCAATAATATGCAGTGCATCACAAAACTCTTGCCGCTTCCGCTTGGCTGGCTTGGATCAGCAAATAGTTATCGTAGCTAAGGCACTGTGCAATGAAGCTTCTCTACTCTGGGGATGAATGGTCATATTGTGGTTTTGCACATGGGGTGCCATTAGCTCCTTCCTGCAGAATGCTTCTCAAAGGTGTGAGGCTAGTGGTGGGCATCAAGATCACAGCAGTCATCGCGAAAGTCAAAGCTGCTCACAAACCACCAACAATGCCAAACCTATGCCAATGCTTAGTGCACTTACCTTACCAAGAGTTTTTGAAAGATGGTGGGTGGTGGTGCGTGATGACGGCAGGAGATGTGTTGTGGATTCCGCCACTGTGTCTGATTGGAGAGTTCAACGTTCCCAACCCAGAGTACAACGGCGATGATATGGAGGTCAATGAATCCTTGACATGGGTAGGGCTTTCACGGTATCACTGCATCCCTCAGTTCTGTGATGAAGTGCAAGAAGGTCTTGACTTTCTCTTGCGCAACAGCTGCTGCCATCAGACTACAAAGAGATTGGAAGAAGATGTGAAGGCACTGGGGAAATTGGGACATTGGTTAACATCTCTTTAAACTTAGTGATCACCTATGACTATGACCTATGGACCCTGTGACCCTGAGAGGCAGCAGCTTCATGGTACACCACACTGTCCAAGTTGTACCAGTCAAAAAGGGAGAGGCAACTACAGGCACTGCAGGATGGAGCAATGAAAGCAGCAGCTGCAGCACCCAGGCTGAGGCCATTGACCATTGCTACGGCTACTTGGAAGAAAGAGGAGCCACCTACGCCGACGCCTGCACCGACACCGACACCTACACCAGAGAACCCTGCAGCAACAGCAGCAGCAGCAGTGGCAATGGCTATGCCAGTGGCAGCGGTTGTCACCCACACGAAAATGCCACAGCATACTCCCAACCAGATTGAAGCACCAGCAGCGCCATCACCAACACCGGCCGAAGCACCACATCAGGCACTGGCTGCCCATTTGGATGCCGCAGCCGCAGAACCGGTGAAGACCGATGGCGATGATGCTGATGCGCCTGCTCCTTTGCCTCCAAACAAATTTGATGCTGTCACTGATGCAAATTCAGTTGAGATTATCGCATCAGACGAGGACGAGGAGGAAGAAAACGACCTTCTTTCTCTAGCAGCTTTGAAAGCGGATGTCGCAGTGACTTGTGATGTGCTTGAAGCCAAGTGCCAACAAAGTGGATTTTTTGCACCCATAGCCATAGGCTGCGGCTCAGATTCCATGGCCAGCCCCCGGGACCAAGAATCCCGGGAGATCATGGCAATGGCCGAAGCAGCAAAGCAGGTAGTGCCTGTCGCAATGAAAGGGGCAGAGTCAGTACTCGTGAAAAATCTTCAAATGCTCAAGTCGGCAGCGGCAGGTGCGGCTCCGGCTGCGGCAAAGAGCACTGTTGTCGCCAATGCCGGTGTTGGCGAAGGCGAAGGTTCAGACAATGATCGCAGTGACTCTGAGGATAGTGACCAGGATTCTGATTCTGATGCCACTGACGCTTCACAGAGTGAGCGTGATGCGGAGGCGAAGAAAAGTGCAAAGGCACCTAAGGCACCAAAGGCCAAACCAAAACCAGGACCAAAAGGCAAGAGTTCAAAAGAAAAGGCACAGGACAGGGTGGTGGCCTCTGCAAAGCCGAAAGCCAAGGCTAAGGCTAAGGCCACTGCGACAGCGGCCAAATCAAGGCCAAAGGCAAAGGCAAAGGCCACACCAGCACGGGCAGCACGGGCCGAGGCCAAAGCCAAACCCGAACCAAAGCGCAAAACAAATCCGGCAGTGGCATCAGCAAAGGCAAAAGCGGGCAGCAAGGCTAAGGCAGCGCCACTGAAGTGTCTCGAAAAGTACTTTGCCCGGCCAGCGACCATCGGGACGGCTACTGCAGTCTCACCCTCAGGCTCTCAGGATATCAGTGATATCAGCACAAAGAAATAGTGTTTCTCAATCATAAAATATTTTCATATGTTACATGTTGATTTCCGTATTTCCGCACTATACTAATTTCCAATCTTTGCACTATGTCGTTGCACCGGCAAGCATCCAGAATCAAGGCAAAGAAAAGGGCAAGAACGTGAAAGAACAATTTGCGGGACTTCGAGATCACTCACACAATCACGCATCATCAATGAATCATCAATGGAAACTTTTCTGAATGCTTGAGGGGAGAGAGAGAGACTCGAGAGAGACCTGTCAGTCAGCCTGTCACGCTCACAATTCACAATTACAATTACAATTACAACTGCCCCATTCGTCGTCCGAGGACATGGTGTGTGATGATTTGATTTGCGATTTGGTCTCTGTGGACTATATAGCTGTGGGTGAGTGAGCGACGCTGCAGTCACATGATATGATCAGGTTTGCTCAGCTGCTCAACATTGTTTGTGTTCACCTTTGTTCTTTACTGTGGTTTTGCACCAAAAGTGGGCAATAGCAGCAGGTTTCCAAAGTTTCCAAACAACCACACATGACAATACTAACACTGTAACTAGAAACTTTGTCGGCAACTTGTTTTGTTAGAGTGTGGATGAATTGGCGTGGGCATCCCTGGTGGAGCAATTCAGGCAAGCGTCACTTAGCAGTGTAGAGTCAAGTACAGCAGGGACAAGTTCTCTGACAAGGCGTTTGGTTTTCTGTATAGTTTTTTTGGCATCAACAACTTACTGTAAACTAACTATTGATGGTTGCAACTTTGCTATACAACAGTTTGTGGCTTATGATATGATATGAGGCACTGTTTTGTTTTGTTGGCAGCCTCGTGCCTTGGAACAAGACTCTGACAAGTATCTTTAGGACATCGACATACATACCTTGGCAGAGAGGTTTAAAAAAATGGCACGGTCACTGTGCGCTTGCGCTCTGACTGTGCAAGGGAGGAAGTGTGATGTGACTTAAAGGTCTAGTGCTAGCTATCCTGAAGGACCTAGAAGAGCTTCGCGTCTTCGTATCCTTATGTCTTCACGGGTCTTCGTGTCTTCGTGGATCTCGCGGGTCTTCGTGTCTTCGTGGGTCTTCCCGTCTTATTTGCACCAAGAAAACACTGTTTTGCTGCAGAATGCTTTTAGCAGCATGCGGAAATGATTTGAATATAGCAGCCGTAAATCCCAACCCCTCGCCGGAATCAGTAGCTCCGCGGTCCTGGCGGCGGCCACGGTGCCCAAGAGCCTCTACACCGAAGAGGCGGCCAGGGCCCTCGAGGGCCGTGCGGAGGCCGAGCGGCGGGAGACCGAGAGGCTGCACGGCGCCTGCCTCCTGCTCCGGGCGGCCTTGGGGGTGCCCCGCCCGCCGGTGGCGCGAGGTGGACGGCGAGCCCTGCCCCGTGGTGCGTACGGCCAACACCATCACCTTGTGCAGGAGCTGGCCGGAGAGGCACGTGCAGGTGATCCTGCACTACCTGCCCAGCCTAGAGGCTCCTCTTCGCGGACCTGGACTGCACCGCCAAGGGCGTGCTGGCGCTGCCCCGGGCCACCAGGGCCCTGGTGACCAAGCGGAACCTGTGGCCGCGTACACCAAGCGCGGCTTCGCCCCCTGCTACTTGGAAGACCGGGCGGTGGACCCCCAGCGGCTGCGGACGCTCGCAGAGGAGGTGGCGGAACACTTTGTGTTCGAGAAGAAGCTCTTGGACTTCTCGGCCTTCCAGAAGGGCATTCGCACCGAGGCCACCGCCATCGAGATCATGGCCTCGAGCAACACGAGCTACAGTCAACTGTGAAAGTCGTCTCTCATCTCCAGTGTTTGTTGAAATTAGCTTGGCAGACAGGTTTGCAGGAAGTTGTCTCTTTGCAGCGTTGCCTTGCTGTTTTGATAGATGAAGGATTGGCTGTGTTCTTGAATCAACCATAGGATGTTTTGGCGTTCTGCTTGGGGAACACTCTTGTGACCTCAAACCCGCGGTCTTGCTCAAAAGCAATTGCACATACAGTAGATTCTGCTTGACCTGTGACTCTCTCTCTCTCTCTCTCAATGGTGTGTGACAAAGGTCAAGGTCCCGATGCTTGGCTTTGTTGGATCAGGCTGTTGAGGGCCATGTTTGGGTGTGTCGTAGAATAGGGCGACCTCCAATTAATGGTTGGCATTGTGAGTGCTTGCCTTTCCTAATGCACTCCAGGACCCATAAGCAGCCAAAAAGGAAGAGTTGCTCCACTTTGTTTGCTGGGCTTCTTTGTAAGATGAACTACTGGTTAAAATAAACAAGACTTGCTGTGCTTAATGGCAGTGGACCAAGCCCGAATATATCCAAACAGAACCGCGTGTTTCCAGTTTCCAGATGGCTGCAAACCCTTGAAAGCTTGTGTGCCCGACATGTGCACAGGCTGTGTTGTTTTTACTTGTTTCTGCAAAATTCCAACCATTGAGGACAAGATGAAAGCCTTTGTGGCAAAGCTGCTGCGGTCACACGCAGCCGTCTTTGACAAGCTGAGCGACTTGCAGCAGCTAGAAGTTGACACCACTCTTCGTGACCACCATGTTCATGGACATGTGCCTCCAGCAGTCCTTGCATGTAAGCTGTGTGGGCGTAAGAAGCATGCTGTGCGCTGGGTGTACCGCCTCTCCCAGAAGAACCGCCGTTTCACTACTGGCAGCACTTGCTTTGCATGCTGGAAAGCCACTTCTCGTCTTTTAAAGTGTAGTCGCAGTCCTAGACTCTTGGTGAAGGCAGGGGCCCTTGACTTGGTCAAGGAAGTCAGCCAAAGAGTCCAAGAGGAGCTATCTGCTGAAGATGTGTGTAATTGTGATCAGTGCCATGCATCCAACTAAGATGCTTTGTGGCAATGTGCTGTTGAATGGGGTCGCAGCTGAAAAGATGCATTCATCTTGGAACTTGTTGTTGGCGATTCTCTCGGCGTTTCAATCAACCCTTCCTTCTCCACCTTTCCTGGCAGATGATTTTTTGCTGAAATAGAGAACGTGTGATGGCAGGTGGCCACATTTACTGAGCCACATGCAGTCCATCTGTAACACTGATGAGCTGTTGTTTGGGTTTCTGTATATAATACTATATATATATATGGTTTTTATGTGTATGTATATATATATATATTGGAGTCGTTCTCCCCTTGCATAGAGACAGGCCTTAGAGAGGACATGTCAGAAAGACTGACCATGGTAGGACTACTACACTACTCCTACTCCTACTCCTACTCCTACTACTACTACTACTACCACCACCCTGCACCCAAAGTTTAGAACAACCCAAACATAAGTGTACAACACTTTATTTAGCTGTTGAATATTGTATCTATATATTTACATATTTTTTGCTTTTTCTTTAGAAGGAAAGCTTTTGGTGCGCTTTCATGATACTCATGGGTGCGCTGCAGTAACCGTATCATGTTCAAAACATGTAGGTTCCAAGTTGGGAATGGCTCCGAAGAAACTTTCGGGAGCAAAGATAGCGCGGCTCAGCGTCACTGATTTGCACTTGCACCTGCAAGAGTGGGGTGTCGAGCATTCTTCCGAAGATCTTCTATCAGAGCTAAGAGCAAAGCTCGAAAGGAAGATTGTAGATTCTGAGAAACCACCAGGCTCTGACAAGAAGGAGGCTTCCAGTTCATCAGCTCAGCCTTCTTCCGGTCAAGGAGGGCTGTGTCCAACTTTCTTTTTTCTTTCTTTCTTTGTTTTGGGGGGTGAGAAGTGAACATGCTGAACACTCCGTGGTGTTCTACTTTTGAGAGCAAGTCTTTCTGTCCTTGAAGGGCTTCAACTCATGTTCTGGAAGGTTGGCTGGATGGTTGATTGGAGTATACACTCTCGTTGTATAGGGGCATCTCGTTCGCTGATCTCGTTCGCTTCCCAGAAAACCTCAGTTCGATGCACACTTCCAATACCCGAGCAGAGGAGTTCCACAAAGCTTGCCATCTGAACTGCCGCTGCCTCCTCCTGAGCATCCACCGCCTCCAGTTTGCAATGAATGTGGCCTAGACATTGATGACACAGTCCAGTCGCCGCTTGCCAAATATTGCAGGAGGTGCTACTTTTTCAACATCTCCTTGAATCAGCGGCGCTTGCAGAAAACGCACGCAAGTGCTGCTCAGTGCGTGCTGTGCATAGCTGAGATCACAGCAGACAATAAGAGCCCTGTAGTGGGTTGCTGCTATGTTTGCTGGACTACTCAGGAAGCGATTGCATCTGCACTACAGAAACAGAAGCCAGTGCCATTAGAGCAAGAATCCCAAAAACGTAAAGAACCAGCTGCGGAACAACCGGAGCCTTGTCCTGAGCGTGGATGGAAGAGATTGCGCAAAGAAAGCGAAATGGTGTGGCATGCTCGTGTACAAGGTTTTCTGGATGGCCCTCACAGCAAGAAGCAGAAGTGCTACATTGATGCTTGGAAGCAAATGCCTGACAGCCAGAAAAAGTGCTTTAGAGAGCTGGTTGCCTCCAAGTGCAAGGCTGCCGATGCCCCAGAAGAAAAGCTTGTGACCGGTTCTGAGTGTGGAGGTGTTGCGGGAGACAAGCCTTGGCATGGGTTTTCTGGCCAATCTCGAACGATTTGCCTTCCTGCAGGCTACAACGTGGACACGCTACGCAAAGATTTCGCTGAGTATGCCAGCAATCCGAGTTGCCACGATCAATCTCGGTGGGAAATGTATTGCTTGATACACATGCTTATTGAGTCTCCTGGCAGTGGTCTTGATCACGCGAGCCAAGCGGAGAAGGAGCTGGCAGATCTCCACATAAATCGCAAGCGCCTGTACCAGTTGTCTAAGAACTACCAGCAGCCTTTTCCTCGCGACTGCCTCAGGAATTCAGGATGGGAAGGAAGCCAGACAAGAGCCTCAGCCTCCAAGAAAAGGAAGACCTTCTCATTTTCATCCAATTTCATGAGCGGACAGGGACCGCATTGTCCGTGGACCAGGTGGAACAAGCTATAGCCCCTTGACTGTTTCGCGGTTCGTTTTGTTTGTTTTTTTGCATGTATGTTCTGGGAGCATGCTTCTGACACGGTGGAAAGCATCCGGCTACTGGACAAGCAAGGTCCTCATGAAGATGTGCAGATTGGGCCTTTTCGATGACATGGATAGGATTGACGAGTCGGCTTTGCTGGCACGCATCAATGAGCTTCGTCCTTTGTATGCGTCCAGTGGTTTGTGGAGAAGCTTCAAGGACTGGGTGTCCAGTCATAGGCCACCTGGTGATTCTTTGTCTCTCGCCAAGCTCAAAGCAAAGTCCGTGGTGGAAGTGACCAGCTGCGAGCCACATATTGTTGCACAGGCGTTCAGCACCCTGGAAGAGATGTGTGAGCGTATCCACATAATTCACGAGGGCAAGCTTGTTCCGAGTGAGTGTTCCAGGATGGCTGTTTGCGACGAGAAAGGTTTCAGCGGCAGGCCAGTTGTCATTTCATTTTTTGATGCCTTTTGTGAGTATAGGCTCTCTTCATCTAACTTTTGTTGTATCTCAGTTGGTCTTCCAAGCTCATGAAGTTGAACACCCCCGTTTTCCATGACCGAACCTGAGCAGGTCCGATCAGCATGAGCGTGGCGTGGTGACTCGGCGCATGAGGGGTAAGGCTTCCACCACTTCCTCTACTTGCAGCTTTGAGCATGTAACTGTGTGCTCCTTCCTTCCGCTCACTGGAGCAAAGCTTCCTGTTGGGGTGGTTTGTCCGTTCAAGCAGGTGAACCGCCACTGGCAAGACATTTGGCCTGAAGCAGTGTTCTACGCCCATGAGTCGGGTGCGCAGACTCCAGTTTCCTTTGCTTCCATGGTTGAAAGCTGCTTTCTGAAGCCCATGAGAGAAAGATGGCCAGATTACAGCAAGCGCCTACTTCTTTGGATGGATTCGGGGGGGGAACCCTGTTACACTTGAGTGTGGAGACCGCTGTACTTTGTTCCCGCTATGGATGCGATGTGTTTCTCATTCCACCTTACTGCACAAAGTGCATTTGTGCTTTAGACATGCAGCCGCACAGCTGCATGTCCAAAATGTGGAGCGCTTTCAAACAAGAACATGGCCGGCAAGTCTCTTCAGATCTGGGGATCTTCCCAGCATTGAAAGCACTGAGGCACATTGTGCACGAGGGGCTGAATGAGGAGAATAGAAACGCAGGATGGGCTCACATAGGGCTGATTCCTGGTGAAGCTGTCAACAGGAACAAAGTCTTGGTGGACCGTTTCCATGAGTGCTTCCAGAGCAAGCGAGCTGGGGGAGGACTGGAAACAACACCGAAAAGTAAAAGTGCTGGTGTACTGGACCTTGTTTCGAAGATTAGTCCCAAGAAAGAGCGCTGCTCACAGGCAAATTGCAGACACTTATTTCGGTTGACGTACAGGCATTGCCCCAAGTGCGGCGCAGCAAACGAGAAGTTTGACGCAGAGGAGTTTGCCTTGAATGGCCCTGGTAAGAAGCCAGGCTGGATCAAAAGACCCTTGGCAAGCTCTTGAATGTGGGGTTCTAGTTTTCACGGCCTTTTTAAGTGAGTTTTGTCATGCAAGAAGCCGGGCTGTCGAAAGAAGAAGTGTAGCTAGTCACCCGCACCTTGAGCAATTGCAAGGCATGGTTCCTAGCATTGAGCCACAGAACGAGAAAGAAAAGAAGGTTGCGGAGAACACAGCTGATTGGCTCCAGTCAGTGCGGAAAAGGTCGACCGCAGCTGCATCTGTGCCAGCTGCTTCCACACCTGTTCCACCAACCCCTGTGCCAAAAGCCCAAGCAGCACCTTCGACTCCTGTCCCAATGCCGCCTGCTTCCTCTGAACCCTCTCCAAAGGATGAGGAGTTTGACATCGACACTCCGGCGGGAATCGTCTCTTTGCTCGAGCATGTCTTCAAAGAAGCAGAGCTCACGCATTGCAAAGTGTCGAAATTATAGAGCACTATGTGGCACACCTTTGTGAAAAGAAACCCAGAGGTCAGCCCTTGTCGAAATACTTTCGTTCAACCTCCTGGGACAGGACTGAGAACGATTTTAGAAGTTCCAGTGCTCGCAAGAAATTTCTGACTTTTTGGAGGGATGAGTACAAATCTCGATACATCCGCTTGAGCGATCTGAAGTGACTTGGCGAAGAAAGGGTGTGCAACTGGCAGCGTTCACATTGGGGAGAGAACCAAGGGATGACTTAGGGGTGACTTTTTCAAAGGTGCGTTCACATTGGGAAAGTCCTCAAAGGGACGATTATAAGGGGTGACTTTCTCGCTTCACTGTACGCCAGCTGGAACGTGCCCCGCATGATTGGCCTCTCCGCCGCCGCCATCCGCCGCTTCTTCGAGGCGCTGACGGAGCGCTCCAGGCTCGCCGGCGAGGAGCGCTTTTGCGTGGAGTTTGTGGACGCGGTGGAGCAGCTTGCTTCCAGCCAAGACAAGCTCCAGAAGGTGCAGCGCGAGCAGTGGATCGCCTGGGGCATGATTGGCTAATCGGTTTATAATGATGGCAAGAGGAAAAAAGGGACGATTGGTTGCGTATGCGCAGACAAAAGACACTTTCGGCGCCCCAGCCCCCCCCCTTGGCCAGGAGCCCGCCGCAGCGGAGCACTACACGGATCCTGCATTTCCGCCCGAGCCTCAGAAGCGAATGTTATTTTGAAGCGGGGTGCATGAATAGTACACAGTGCATGTACTCGTCTCTCGTGCCGGCAGCCTTCTCAGCTCTTCGTTTGCTAGTCTTTCAATCTGCCATGGCAAACTGGGGCGATGTGGAGATGCCCGTGGCGCAGCAGCAGTCATGGACCCTGCAGCAATAGTGCTTTGCTGCCAGATCGGCGCCGTCCTCGACAGCTCCAGCGGGCAACCTTGCTGGGCGCCTGTGGTGGCTTGCTTTGCGCAATGGCCCCACGGGCATGATGTTGGTCTACGCGGAGCCGTTCATGCTCCCGCAGGCTCCACAAGCTGACGGGCCCGCGCCCTGCGTTGAAGAAGCTGCCGAGCCCCCGCCCTGTGTGGAAGAAGCAGAAGCGGACAGCGAGCCCCTTGCGGAGCCGGAGCTTGCCAGAGGCACAGAGAAGCATTCGAACTCGAAGCAGCGCCGCATGAGGCGCCAGCGGGCGGCAAGTCGCCTGTGCCAAGGGCATCATACCATTGGCCCGCCACCGCTTCCAGGACGAGATGCTCTCTACAGGATTGCTATGGAGAAGCGGTTGGAGTTGTGGCGCTCCCTGCCACTGGAGGCGGCCGAGCGCAAGGAGCTTGCCGCGGAGATTGCCCTTGGCCAGCCTGGACCGGCGCAAGAGCCTAGCGCTCCAGTCCTGCTTGCACTTCCAGCCCGAAGAGACATCTTCCTCGCTGGCTCAGGCCTCGTCCTTGTGGGCTGCGGACCCGGAGGCCTGCGAGGGCAAGCGCTGGCTGCAGCTCACCAACCACCCCCATGGCAATTTCGTGGTGCAGCTGGCCATTCGCATGGCCACGCCGGATGTGGTGCAGCTCTTGGCCGAAGCGCTCTCGTGCCCGAGATCAGTGCGGGTGCCGGGTGTTGCAGGGGATCTGGGAGCGTGCCGACCTGTCCGAGCTGGCCCGGGCGCAACTGGCTAGCCAACTGGCCGCCGAGGAGAGCCTGCCAGAGCTGCTGTGCCACAAGTACGGCAATTTTGTGGTCGCAAGCGCCATCTTGCACGCGCCAAGTGATGCGGTCAGGGCATGGTGGCTGGACTGCGCGCTGCCACCGGAGCAGATGAGATCCTTCTGGAGCACATGGTGCTGGTGGCAGTGCCAAGGTCAGAAGAGCGACCCGGTGGGAACGCCGCCTCTCTGCAAGGCCGCATACAAGATTATCTGGCTGAGCCTGCGGCAGCTCGCGGAAACGGAGCTCAGCCACTTCGTCCAGTCCTGGCTGCTCAAGGCATGCCCCGACTGCGGGGTTCTGCTGGAGATGCTTCTGAGCCCTTGCGATAACAGCTACGGGCGGGCTCTGGGTTACCGCAAGTGACGTGGAGAGATTGCGCGCGTGCAAAAAAGAAGGCGGAAGGGAGGGAAGAAGGCAATAGCAAGTAATGCTGGCTCTAGGTGCTTTTTCTTTGCGGCTGCCGCAAAATGTTGTATGACTTCTGAGGTGAGAGCGGCCTCCTCACGAATCTCCAGCTCTGTCGCATGGTACTAAAAAAGCGTTTGGCAGCACGGAAGAGACAAGGGGAGAGAGAGCGCATGCAGTAGGCTTTAGAGTGTTTTTTACTATCGATAGTTCCACCGCAGCCTTTCTTTGTGCACGAGCCGGGAGCCCTTTCGCACCAGACGCCCCTTGCGAGATGTCGGCCTCCTTGCAGCACAACTTCAACCAGGACGACCTGCTGTTTGCGCAGCCGGAGTGCCTGCGGCCATCCGACACCCGCATGGCCAAAGTCTTCGACGCACGCAAGCAACAGCAGGCCCTAGCCATGAGGGTCACGGCCGAGGCGCGCTTGCGCGATGCCGCCGGCACGGCTGCTGGCTTGTATCACTGCGGCGAGCAGGTGCTGCACCCAGGCAAGTGCCAGGGCGCGCTGAAAATCCAGTCGGAAGAGTCAGTGGCGCTCGTGTGGTGCAGCTGCTGCAAGCAGCTCCTGGACTCGACCGACAAGAATAAGCGCTTCTACGAGCAGTTGAACAGCGCCAATGCCGCCCTGCCCCTGGATTACGTCTTGTTGCACAGCTTTGAAGACGAGACCTTCGTCCTGTGTGATTGGGCAGGTCCGGGTGCTTTGAAAGTTGGAAGGCAGCTGAGCCGCGTCAAGCCGCCGCAAAAGCCCAGCCTCCTGGAAGCAAGGCAGATGGACGAGGGAGAGAAGATTCACGAGCTGCTCGTCAACAAGAAGCGCTGCGCCGAGGGCCATGAGGATCCTTCCAACAAGCGCGCAAAGGAGCAGTGAGCTAACTATGCAGAGCGGGAGGTAGTTTTTGAGATCTAGCCAAAAGGGTCAACGGATGGATGCCAGCTGCTTGCACTGTTTCGTGCACAGATTCATCAACTTTATTAGGCCAGGGGAAAAGATGAGACGAGAGAGAAGAGTGCATTCGTTCACCGTAGTTTTTTGGCTCAAACTCACCATTTCGCTTCTCTAGGTGCGCGGCAGGCAGATGGGGGTGGCGCGCTTTTGTTAATCCAAGTTTGTTTCGTTTTAGATGCATTCAGACATGCCGTGAGGTCTATCCATCCACGCTGAGTCCCTGGGTCGTGTTGAAGGAACAGCCGAAAGCTCAGCCCGCATTACAAGCCGTTGAAGCAGTTTTTTGATGTGCAAGTGATATATATTTTTCTTATATTCTCTGCAGCAGTGTGAGCTCTCAAGCTAACGCATTTGCAAGAGCTTCTTGACGAGCCATGTTCATGCGGGATCCGGCCAGGAACCCTGCCTTGGATGTGCCCTTGGAGGACCTCGTGGCTCCGGTGCACAAGAAGCAGCAGCGGCAGCGGCGCCGGAAGAAGCCTAAGCGCAACCGCAAGGGCGCAGTACGGGAGCGCAACAGACGCAGCCCTTCCAGGCGCCGCCGCCGCAGGAGCTGCAGTTCTGGGCCGCCGGGTAAGACGCCGCCATGGCAGTGACACCTGGCCAGAGCATCGCCACAAGAGCCGGCGGGCGAGAAGCCGCCGCCGCGGCGAGAGCCGCCGCTGCGGTGAGAGCCGCCGCTGCGGTGAGAGCCGCCGCTGCGGTGAGAGCCGCCGTGGTAGGAGGAGTGGTGGCAGGGGCCGCCCAAGAGGACACAGCAGCAATGAGAGGGGCCGCAGTGCCTGTGCAGTGCCTGTGCAGTGCCTGTTCGTCTCCCAAATGGTGCAGATTTGTTCCTTCAATTGAGACAGTAAGACTCTGTCAGGTTGCCTGAACGCGTTGATTCGTGGAACGCAGGGAACTGCAATGCATCCAAACTGGCCAGTGTCCTGAAAGGATACAAAAGGTTTTGATCAGATCGCGGACCAAAACATCCTCCCTTTGCCTGATTTGGGAAGCATGTCCTCAGCAAGAAAGATGCAAACGGAATTGTGCAGAATCGGCGGAGTAGGTTTGCGTTGCTTTGTCCAAGTGGTTTTCTATTCTTCATGACGAGATTGATGTGTTTGTTTGATTAGACTACTTGTGCATATCCCCGAAAAGTTGATGCCACGAGACGATACCAACAACAGATTAACTGTATACCTGGTGGATGGAGTTCAAATACTGTTACTGTATGTTCAACGGACTTTCTGTTTTGGTCCTAGTTGTTTCTTCCTTTTTTGCATGTCTTGGACCCAGCTGCTCAGCAGAAAGCGCCTGCCGCAGGAGAGAAGAAGGCGACGGAGCTCCCACGAGAGATTCACCTTGTGGCTCGGTGGGGACAGCCATTCGCTTTTGGCCTTCAGGGATCCACAGAAAGTGCTTGGCCGGCAGAACGTGCTTGGCCGGCAGAATACGGCCATACAAGGCCCTGATAGATCCTGCGATATCTGCGTTTGTCGGGTGGATGGATCAGAGTGCATGAGTTGCTCCACCCCCTCTTCCACCTACTGCTTGGGCTGGCATGTTTCTTGAATGCAGATCAGGTATCCTCACAACATCAAGAACCACCCAGTCAGAAGGGCAAACTATATACGATGTCCAATAAGGCTTCCAGCATTGGAGAACAGGCTTCCTGTGGTGCACCACATTGTCCAACAAGGCCTCCTGTGCGATGCAGGCACCCAGCAGTTGGAGTCCAGTTGGAGAACAGCAGGCTTCTTTAGCAACGATTATTACGTTGCTGATGGACAAAACTGCGTCCCAAGCTCTTCACCATCCCAAACCATCCAAACTCCAAACCAATTTGCCATGGATCTCCATGGTGTCCCAAACTTATCCAAGTGTCCACCATTCGATCTTGCCTTCCTTCCTTCGCCTCGGACCGTCGCGTTTCGTGTGTCTCGTCCACCCACCCGGTCCCCGAAACAACACATGCGGTGGAGAAGCGCGCGCGCGGTCGCGTGGTGGGAGTCACGCCTTCTCATAGGCCATCCGGGGCTTGGCCGGACTGTTGGCCTTGGTCGACGTGAAGGCCTCCATCTCCATCCATGAGCTTCTTGGAGAGATCGATATGAGACGAGACAGGCCGGTCGCACGAGCAGACGAGACTATACGAGACTGACGTGTTTTATTTTTTTTGCGGGGGTGGAGAAGATCTGAAAGTTTGTTAGAACATCCTTGGAGTATATATATTGGAATTGTTGTGGCAAATACCCATTCATCATCTTTGAAGAACACCCTCCAAGGTTGCGTGAGAAGCTTGAAGAGCAGCTGGGCATTCCGGCTGAGGCGACCTCGTTTTTCGGGGTGGGGGTCAATCTGCACCTGCCAAGCGTTTTCATTCTGCAATATGTGTTGCAACAACCCGCAAGATAAGCGAAGATAGCAGGCACAGTGGGCTGGAAGTTGTGGTGTGCAATATATATATATATATAGACAGACAGGTTTAGTGAAGGTGATGAGCAGGGACTTGCAGCCTTATCATGCTTATCAGTGTTACATGTTGAAGATACATGAAGATACTGGAGGTGTGGGTAAGAGCTGGACGAGCAAATCCCAACGCCCATATTTTCTGCTATATAACCCTATATAGTGTCGTCACCATATAGTGTCGTCACCAAACAGATAGAAGCAGTAGCACAAATTTCTTCTCTGTTCCATCTATTTGGGGTCTTCTTCAACACTTATATAGTTATAGCAGAAGGGATTGTGGAAGAGCTTTGACTGATGGATTATGGAATGCTAAGGGGAATGAAGCTCAGTGAAGTCCCGAAAGCCACGAGTCAGCGATATCTGCTTGGGGGAGTGGTCGCCGCTGGGTGCTCTCCCTGTTTTTTGCACGGTCAAGACTGGTTAGGTATAGGGTGCAATAGGATTGTGTTAGGTGTAGGTGTGTAGGTGGCTTTGTAGGATTGTGCTAGGTATTTGTGTAGGTGTGGCGTGCCTTTCCGAAACCTTTGGCGAACCAGTCGTTCAAAAAAATGCCGTTTTCGAAGAACAGCAGGGCAACGATTCACCACGACGTCGACCGTCTGAACCGGTGAGGAGCAGAAATTGCTTCTTGGCACCGCCCCACTCAGCGATTGCGCCTCGCTGTCCACGGCCTTAGGCAAGACCGAGGCGGCGGGGGGCGTGGCGGGACGGGTTCAGACACGTCTAGGTGCCAAGTCGACCAGTCGACAGGCTAGTCCAGGTGCCAAGATGCTTTGTAAATGGCGGAAGGCTGGTTTTAAAAGGACTGGCAACTGAACTTGGGTCCCAAGGAGATCAAAACGTGAATCGACTTTTTACTTAAATGTTGGATATCATATGTGTTTGCCTTTGTTGTTTGAGGTGGCTATCAGCATCGCATAACCTGTCAGCTATAGACAACAACCACCCTCTTATTGTATAGATTGTTATTCAGCAATCAATCAAAGCGTTCCGTCCGTGAACATAGATCCCATTCTGACCATTGTGAGGGCGGACATGGAGGGAGCGTACTGCATCTATCCAGACTCGCTGGTTTTCACAGCCCTTTCGACCCTTAGGCCCTTGGGCGACCCCTGACCCGAGACCCCATGGGGTCCATGAGTCTCTGGGCCCATGAGGGCAAGTCCGACACTCAAGAACTGACCTTGGTGCGTGTGGCTGAAGAGAGTCAGGAGCGATCTCTTTGGGAACTCCACGGTGGATTTTGGGTAGGAAGCAATGCTTTCGTGCTTTCGCAGTAGAAGTATGGAGAGAACAAAGTAGGGGAGTAGATGAGGGGATTGCTATATCCAGTTGACTCTCGTTGTAGAACAAAAGCCAGTCCTGTGGCTTGCAGAGTAACAAGTATCAGACATCGTGGCACTTGCAGCTTCATGCATAGTGACTGATTAGCTCTACCTGGAGTCTCAAAGTACCTGAGGCAAGTACCTGTTTTTATAGGGTCATGTCCCATGTTCTCGGGTACTTGAAGTCGGGTCCAGGTACATACTTAGACAATCTTAGACATCCT